GGTAAAGAGGCACCATGAGATCGTGTGGAAAATTGTTGCTTCTCAATAAAGATAACAAAATGGAGTCCCAACAAGGTCCCTGCTACCTTTCCTTCTGTGATCTGCTCCCATGAAGGGATATCACAGGGAGTTAATATAACAGCAGATGCTGGTCCTCCATTGATCTAGATGCTGCCTTGATAGGCACATGAGGGTTATGCAGATCTTCATGGGACCTCTTATGCAGTGTGGGCATGGTGTCCTCTCCTGTATGTCATTCATTGCATGCACTATGAGGGTGTTCCTATTGTCCTTGCTGTGGAAACACTTCTCAAAATGTCATTTGTCTTCTACCTTGAAAACCCCTGGAACAATGAACCATGCCTTCATGATCTCTTTCAAGAAAGCTCCTTGTCATGTCTACTCACTGGTGTGAGATCAGGTCTTCCCACAAAGAATGTCTGCATTGACTTACCAGATTGATTCCTGCTCATGTTATTATTGTGAATCACAGCCCACTTTAATAGAGTGAGCTGCCATCTTGACAAGGGCACACATGTAACCATGACAATGATTCCTTGTGTAGTGTCACCTATGCCAGGCCTCACTCTGCTCAGGGAAGCACATAGTTGATGAAGCTATGCAGATGTCTTTGGACTGGTAATTAGGGGAGGTGCCTGAAGGCTTCAGTTATCATCATTCCTTGGGGACAATTTCCCATCCAATCATCATTTCCTACTACAGAACTTCACTGCTGAGAATTCGAGGGTCATTGGGGAAAGGTCAGACCCAGTCCATATGTACACGGTTCAAATATTGGTCTGTCATTTCTGAAGCTCAGTTTATCATCAAGAGTCTCTCATCATGAGGCTTGTATTGTGCCATCTCCAGGACCTGGGTTTGGGGAACAGAGCTGTTTGAAATTTGCCCTCCATCCTGTCCCTTCAACATCATTAAACACACCTTGAAGTGGGATTGACCAGAAATCAGAAAGCCATGAGGCTTTCCCTACCTCCTCTCATCATGGTAGTTGATGAGTTCTGAGGCTGTCACTCACTGGATAGCAGTGTAACAACAGTTCATCCTGTCCCATTTGGAAAGTGGAGTCCTGGGACAGGTGCTGACTCTGCCTCAGCTGTTGTCACCTTTTCTAACAAACACAAGTGGAGATTAGTAGTAGAAAATAATGGACATATCCTACTCTGAGCATATTCATTCCTAATCTCCCACTGTCATTTGCCTCATGCCTCTCTCCTTCCCTGAAAGTTTATCCCTGAAGGCTGGTCTCAGATTTCCAGCAATCCTTCCAACTCAGGGTCCTTTATTGTTAGGTTTCCTTTTTATTCTTCTTTTCCATGGATGCTTTTTTCCTGCCCTAACATGACATTTGAAGGCCAATGGGAAGGAGGCATCTTAGAGATCTGCAGAGTTAGTCAAGGTATCACAGTGTTCCATTCCTCTATCTTATTGTGGATGGAAACCTACACTTAACAATTGTGGCATGCAAAAAGAAAGAGAACAAAACCGAATTAACATCTTTTTCTACTGGTCCTCAAACAATCAAATCTCAGTTATAAAATAAAAACTGTGGGGAGATTCTTCCTGTGATTTCTAGATGAAGTGTAAGCATTGTGCTACCCTCAGTGCCAAACAGGATTTAGGGAAGGGTGGCCTCAATTAAACCAGCTATCTAATCACAGAGCTTGAAATACTTTTCCTGTTTGCAGCAGCAGAATCTGAAAGAGAAGTTATACAGTTGCCCAGCAGGGATGCCTCTTTGCTGTCTCAGCCTGGATGCCTGTGGCAACAGTTGCAGTAGGAACACCCTACCTGGAAGTCTTCCCGTCAGCATCATTGGATCCTGGAAACCCACAATTTCCTGCTCTTCACCAAGTTCTGGATAGCCAGTAAGCATAGTTAGACTTACTAGATGGGGGTGATTTCCTATAAAATGTGCAGTGGAAGAGGAAGGAGAGACTGAAATCTTATCTGTGCTTGGTGTCAAATGGTATCTGAGGGACTTAACATGTGACATAGATTGTAGATATCTATCTAAGAAAGATGCTGAACCATCTACACATTGTTAGTAACATGGTAGACAACATCAGTGCTCTAGAAGCATGGAAGTTCCATGCACAGATTGAAGCATGATCAAGCATGCCCCACCTCAATGTAATAGTGCTACTACCCCATCATAAAGGATGAAGTCACCATCAGTGTTGTGCCACAATACACACATGCTTGTTTCTATACAACACACACAAATGTGTGCCCACATTCATACATTTAAGAACATGTATTTGTCTACACCTTTACATGCACACACACACACACACACACACACACACACACACACACACAGAATTATACTTTGAATTTCAATTAGATGTACAATAAATTGGCATAACAAGAAATTAAATATAAACAAACAACCTTTG